TTACATCGCCCCACATGTCTCTTTAGTGGCTATGTAATGCTGTTGCTTGAAGTCTTTCAAAAATTCCGTAATACAAGTATTTACGTATATAATCCAAAGTGTCTGCTGCCTGGATACTCTCAGGTCTTTTAGTTTTGGGGGAACTCATTGCTTTCATAATTAAATAAAAAGGATTAATTTCCCATCCCATGTCCTGAGGAAAGTCCAGAACTCTCCCAAAATATGTGACACATTCTCATGGGTAGATGGAGTCCCCTCATCATCTCACTTGGGCAATGCTCAATCCTTATCTTCTCACTTTCTGCAGCTGTAATCTTCTTTCCATACCATTTGAGCTCTTGTCTTTTACTCCTCAAAATACAATGTGGTTTGTAAATTCTATCAAAATTTTAGGTAGAATAGGAAAGGATCACAAAAAAGGGTAGATCAGGGAATAATCTAAAACTCAATTGGAGAAATACTATTCTTAGAAGTTTCTTGGCCATATGCCAATGTTACTTTCTTGCTTTGCTGACCACCTTCTTTTTTTTTCCCCCTCAGATCTCAATCTCCTTGCAGGCTGCTAACTCTCTGGATATTTCCCCCTACTCCACATTTTAAGACTCACAAAATCCTACCTCCCAAACCATCAGGAAAAAATTTAAATATTCCCTTGCATTGTATGCAGACAGTTTAGCACCACATCCCCATTCAAAGGTGTATGTCTTTAAGTCATTTGATAATATAAACCGGGTGTGAAGTAATGGCAAATTTTTCAATATTTAATTTCCTTATGATGAATTTAATTCCTTAGGTCTAATACTCAACTAAAGCAGGAAATGAAGATATATTAAAACACATTTTATTGGCGCTTTGCAATTTCAAATTTTAAAATTAAAAGAAACAATACAAAACACCTGGTACACAGTCCCATGATTCTGCAGTCCCAGAAGTTGTTAGTGGGTTTTTCCCATTGATTTAATATACAAATTGTGTCTGCCAGCAAAGATTAATTCTCCATCTCAAGGCTTCCGTAACCTCAAGTGTTAGTGTATATCCTTTAGCAATTCCGTTCCCATTAATCTCATAGATGTTGTTCCATTCCTCTTCTTCTGAGCCACAAAATATTATCATCATGTCCATGAAAGTTAGAATATTCTCTAAGAGGGCACCTAGTCCAGTGTCTTGCTTCTACATAGGTAAGCTGTTAAAAGTAATACAATACTACCATTCACAAATACAGTAACTAAGATTCAGACATATAATTGGCTTATAGTGAGTTGCAGAAGAAAGAGAAGAACTTTCTCTCCTGATTCCTGGCACCATGCTTTGACTTAGTAGACTCAGTAGATTTTAGCAAGCATGCCAATAGATGCAAGCTACATCTTGGTGTTAACGCTTCTCACCCAGGTTTTGGCAGTCCTTCATGAATCGCAGATGTTTCTTTCCAGTACTTTTCCTCCACTGTACTTTCTGAGAGTTACAGTCTTTTTTTCTTTTGTCTCTGTACCCATAGGCTGTGCAAAGACTGGCATCATGAGCTTCAAAATAAATTTCAAGCCACTTGCCAGATGTCCTTCCTAAAAATTATAAGCCAATAGGAAAAGATAGTCAAGGCCTGATCCAGAGAAAAGCTTGACTGGCTATTAACCAATAAATCCATATTTTGCTGATAAATATTATTGCTTCATATTTAAGGCTCTTTCAAGAGTCCAGCAAATGCATTTTTTTCTCTCTACACTGATACTGGGTTTGTGTGTCACAGTTTGTATGTAATGGTTCTTGTATATGTCTTATACTTTAAAGTAAAAAATAAAAACAAAAACCTAGAGGTTCTGAGCTGTACTACGTGCCAAGCAGTAGCTTACACAGAAAGAAAGCATGACTTACATGCTAAGATGCCCTTCTGATGGACACAGCATAGTGACTAGGCAACTGATTTTCTGACAGAATTGCCTAAGTTCAAATCCCAATTCTACTACCTAGGAACTGCACTACCCAGGGAACTCAGTATATTTACTGGATATTAACAGTGAAAGGAAAGGGGAAGGGAAAGGGAAAAGAAGAGGAAGAAATTTTACACTTTCACTCCCTAAAAAGCTAAGAAAATCACTGCTTGAAAAAAAAAAAGAGTAGAAAAGTCTTAGTATTCATTAAAATGCTATAAAGTTCTTATAAACCAGACATACAACTGTTGCATAGTTTATTAAAAAAAAGATAAAAGAATAAAATATTAACAGCAAAAGTCTTGAAGACTATTTTATTCTGAAGCCCTTGAGCTTTAAGCAGGCATTCCTTCGAGCTGTACTTGACTAGCTCGCTGTGTGGGTGTGTACCAAAGACCCCTGCCTACCAGGGCTAGACTTTTACCAATAAACTGCTTTGAATTATAGCACTTGCATAAAGTCCTATTTAACTGACATACAGATTAAAAAAAAGTTTTTTGTTAATCCTGAAATATATTTCAATTCATAAGAGAGAATTTTTATTGAATTATAATTGATATAATATATTACATCAGTTTTCATGTATACAACATAGTGATTTAACATTTTGCTACATTATGAAGTGATCACCACAATAGGTCTAGATACCATCTGTCACTATATAGTTATACAATATTATTGACTATATTCCTTGTGCCATACATTACATCCATATGAGTTATTTATTTTATGGCTGGAAGTTTTTACCTCTTAATCGCACTTAACTACTTCACCCATCCCACCCAATCTCTTCCCCTCTGACAACCACCAGTTTGTTCTCTGTATCCAAGGGTCTGTTTGTTTTGTTTTGTTTAGATTCCATATATATAAGAGATCAAATGGTATTTGTCTTTCTCTGAGTTCTTTCACTTAGCACAACACCCTCTAGATCCACTCATCTGTTGCAAATGTTAGAATTTCATTTTTATGGCTGAGTAATACTCCATTATATGCATGTGTGTGTGTGTGTGTACCACAACTTCCTGATCCACTCATCTATTGATGCTCCTCAGATCAGTTTAATAGCTCCAAATGAATTTACTAAAAGATGTATATTCTCAAATAAAATGGCTACTTCAGGAAGTTTATATTGTGATATTAAAACATTTTCATTATTGAAACATTTGCTATGTCCCCTCTTTTTCACCTATCAGCTTTATGATGGCTAAAGATTACCATGCACTAATCATGCTTAAGTAACATCAAGTAATCAAGTATTCATAGCATACCGCTATCACACAAATGTATTAGAAGCAAAAGAAGACTATAGGTGTTTTTTATTTTTAATTTTTTTTGGAATTCACTCATTTATTAAATATTTATTCAGTTATTTCTGGATAATGGAATTTGAAAATGACTTCTCTTTTTTGTTTGTTTTTTCCTCTAGTTTTCTATAATAAGGAGGTAAGCTTTTATAACCACAAATTAAAGGTAATTTTTAAATTTAAGATTCACTTATTTAACTCCTATGGATTCTGCTCTAGCCATACAAAGATGAGAAGACAAGAACCCTATCTCAAGCTGGTCAGTCTTTTTAGAGAGCCAGGTAAATAAACAAGGGCCTCCCAAAATAATTACTATCCCTTTGCTATAAAAAGGCTATGTAAAGGGCAGCAGTACTATACAAGGAATGGCACACAGCAGACAAAGGGAAGCAGTATTAATATAATTCATGGTGTGCAGCAGTTAAGATCCATGGCTTTGGAGTCTGAGATAGCGGCTCTGCCATGTGATGTTGAGTACATTTTTAGCCACCCTAAGCTTCTCCACGGTGAATCAGGAATGGTAATTCCTACCTCACAGAATTAAGTGAAATAACGTATGTAGAACTTTAGTACAGTGCCTGGCACATACTAACTGTTCAGAAACTGGTACGTTTTGACAATAGAGTATCAGAGAAGCATGGAGTATGGTTCTAAGAACACAGGTACCTACTGATAAACATATGATGGACAAAGGAGGGTAGCTCTTCAGTGTACCAAGGGTCATCCACTTTAAATGTTGAACACGTTAGAATTTTAGAGTTGCACTGATATATAGATATGGATAGATATAGATATGGATACAGATATAGATACAGTTACAGATATAGACAGATAAAACCTGCAAGAAGCATAACTGCTTTATAGCGTAGAATCTATTTCGAAGCTCTGTAACCAGTAGGATCATAGAATTCTCTCAGGAGGAATGAGTTGGCCAAGTTCTGCCAAGGAAGTTCTCACAAGAAGGCATTATGAAATGTCCTTATTCCTCAGAACTTAACTTTAAAATGTTCCCACTGGAGTCCAATGGAAGTTTTACGAGAGTAAAGGATAGAATTAGGTCTTGTATATTTTTAAAGGGTCATTCAAAAAGGCAAAGTCTAAATTTTTTACAGATGGCAGACTAAGGACTGATGCAGTTGGCCAAAACTGACCTTTTATGATTTTCAAAAGCAAATGTTTACTGAAAGAGAACCCTACTATACTACCAATGGGGAAAAAAAATTCCTGGATGCTTACATTGGACAACTCAGTACACATTCACTGCCAAATACATTTACTAAAAAATCAATAATAATATTTTCCATGGTACCTGTTTTCAACCTCCTCTCAAAAATTTTGCCCCGTAGTTGCTTTCTCTCAAACACAGATATGACTGAGGAAAAATAACATTTTAAATGAGAATAGGCTATGAAAGCACATGCATTTTAGGAACCTTACTGTTAGCTTCACAGTCTCTACCACAATGGTGCTCAGGAAAGGGTGACGATGATTGTTTCTGCCAGATCTTCTGTACAGTGAATTCAGAACTGATTTTAAATTCTTCCAGAATGGAACTCCTTTTAAACTTCTTTCAAAACACAGCTCCCTCTTTTCAAAGAGGAAAGGGGGTCTCAGGTATTTCTATATTCTTTTGGATGTTAAATAAAACTCTTAAAAAACAGTTTTAAAGGGTTGGGTGAAAAAGTTAGAAATATTAAAACCCATCAAACATCGATGGGAAAAATTAAAGGCGGTTTGTCACAATATATTTTGGATATGATGAATTAAAAAAGTTTAGTAGGCAGCACAGATACTAAAATTGAAACAGTACAGCAAAGATTAGCATGGCTCCTGGGTAAGGATGATAACAGATTAAAGAAGTTTTCATCATTTTAAGAAGTTTCTAAAAACACATGTAATAAAAATGGTTTTAAAAATGCTACTTGCATCCTTCTTGAGAACTTTTGTTTTATTTTTTTCCCCAGGGAATGAATGTGATATTCATTCTATAATGCATTTAAAGAAGTGTCTAGAAACACATATAATAAAGATCGTTACATAGTGCTATGTGCACACACACACACAAAAAGTTCAGGGGAAAAATTGAAACCATGAACTCAAATTATCAGTAGGATTACTTATTCCCACAATAGCTATAGTTTAGAACTTTCTTATCTTCTTACTTAGAAAGTGGGTTTCAAGTACTCTTTCCACATATAGATTTTTAAAACATTTTGTTCCATAGCTAGTCATCAGAAAATCAGAAACACTCCAACTTTTTTTTCTCAGGAAAAAATAAACATAGTAGATATTCAGACACCACTTAAAAATACCTCATGTATACAAAATGACATTGGTACCTAATCTAAGTTCCCCAAATGGCCATTTTTTTTGTTATGAATTGCACAAATCTATACCATTTTTAAAACAGTAAGAATAAATGGACAGCCTGAAGTGTAATAGTACTCCCATTTTAGAGAAAGGTTCTAAAATTTCTTACAAAGCTAAATATGCCCCTGTTCTCTGATCTAGCAACTCCACCCCTAGATTTTTATCAAGAATTAAACACACATATCCACAAAATATTTGCACAAGAATGTTCATGGAAGCTTTATTCATAAGTGGAAACACTTATAAAATAAGTTTCCAAAAACTGGAAACTCAAATTCCATCAAGAGGAAAATGGACAAATTTTTGTATATTCACACAGTGGAATACTACTCAGCAATACGGAATATATTGATATGCACAACATTAATGAGTCTAACAGACGTTATACTGAGCGAAAGCAGCTGAACACACATGGGTACACAATTTCATTTATATGAAGGACAATACTGGACAAAACAAAATCAACAATTTTAAAAATCAGAAAAGTGGTTGCCTCTGGGTAAAGAAGAGGATTAACTGGGAAGAGACATGAAGGTGCTTGCTGGGATGATGGCCAATATCTATTCTTCACAGGGGTGTAGGTTAATGGCTGGCTCCATGCGTTTCTCAAAAGTCATCAAATAGTACACTTAAAATGTGTGAATTTCACTATAGATTAATTCTATCTTGATAAAGAATAAATATATATTTTTTTAAAGATTTTTTAAAACATATGTCAGGCAAGTAAATCAAAAGAAGTGTGGCTTCTTTTCCATGCCTCCCCAAATCACTGTTTGTGAACTTAAGTGGTTCTAACAACAAAATGAACATATTTAATTCTGCAACTGTGCATCATTTTTCTAACTGGTCTATTTTCCAGAAGGCAAGAGCTTGTCTTTTTTTTTTAATTTAAATTGTTTGTAGTACAGCACATAAATTGCCATTAAACATAGCAATGCAATGAGAACCTCTAGAAGAAACAGGTGGGATCACTTCCCATTTTTTTCCTTATGACTTTGAGAATAAATCTCCCCCAAATGACACCTCTCTCCTTCAAACACTTCAGTTGTATATTTTATAACTTTTACATATGTCATTTTTACATGACAGTCACAGCTCCCACCTGGAGTTTTGCAACACTGTCCGCATGTTACCTTTTTTTTAGAATATGCATGTTTTATTCTGAATAATTTTGCATAATAAAAATGAAAGTACAAAATAATTAACACAAAATATTTTAACCAGCTAAAATAAATCAGGAAAGAAAAAAGCAGAAATGTGATTCATGGCAGACTCTCCAAAAGTCATAAAGAAGTTTGAAAACATCCAGTTTCACTAATGGAAAAATGTCAAGGTCAAACTGAAATCCCAGTATCAAGGGTCTAAAATAATCTACTGCATACTACCTAGGCAATCAATATTAATGTTGACGGTATACAGATTCAATCATTTTTTCCTAAATCATGCAAATAGTTTCATAGCCACAGAGATTATAACTAACAAGTTAAGGAAAACTTAAAGAATCCTGAGATCCCTATTAGACATTTTTCAACAGATTGATCTTTTTTATTGACTTGTACATTCATTCATTCATTCATTTGTCTGTTCATTCTTTCTCATTCTATCAACAAGTATTTATTGGGCATTATGTACCAGAATGTTCTAAGAGCTTGGATTATGTAGAAAACAAACAGACAGGAATCTCAACTTTTCAATATGAGACAGAATGTTTGATATTATAAGGGGGAAAGAGATATAAAATTAAGGGAAGAGGATTAAAATTTTGAATAAGGTAGCCAGAACAATCTTAATGGTAAAGGTGGGTTTTAAGTAGGACCCTGAAAGAAACGAGAGCGCTAGAAATGCCAATATCTGAGAAAGAGCAGTCCAGACAGCAGGAAAAGCAATGCAAAGGCCCTGAGATGGACAACACCTGGCATGTTTAAGGAGCAAAAAAGCAGCCCTTACAGGTGAAGCAAAGAGAAGGAAAGTGAGAAGGTATTATGATCAAAGCAGCACTGTGAGCTAGATCACATGGAGCCTTTCAGGCTGTTGAAAAGAGTGACTTTTACAATGTTTGGGATGGGGTCACTGAAGGTTGAAAGCAGAGGGATGACATGATCTCACTTCCATTTTAACTAGATCGTTCTGGCTTCTCTTTTGAGAATAGAATGGGGAGAGTCAAGGGTGAAAATAAGAAAATCATATAAGAGGCTACTGTAATAATTCAGACAGGATGAGAGATGACAGTAACTAGGAACAGGTAGGAAGCAGTGGAGAGAAATGGTCAAGTTTTATATATATTTTAAATGTAGAATTAAAAAGACCTGCTGGCAGTTCAAAGACGGGGTGTGAAAAAGGAGTCAAAGATGAATGTAAGGTTTTTAGACTAAGCAAATGAGAGAATATAGGTTTCCCAATTTGGATGAAGTCCTTATGGTATTGATGGAATTATGCCCACTTACCAAGAGGGAATTATTGTAGGAAAAAACTTACTGATGAAAATAAAACAAACAGAAATCCTTTCCCGAGATGGTAGGTGATTTCTGAAATTCTTTCACAGAAGTGTTATTCCTCTAGCTTGAGTCTTTGAATCTAATTAAATGTAAACTCCATATTTTCTTATTGATCTTTGCTAATAAATGATTTTAAAAGTAGAGGCAAATGACTTCACTGTATATAAGAGGATGAAGTTATAAAAATACAGTGCTTAATTGGGAGGTGGAAGTTTTAAAGCATCCACTTCAGAACTGGGTCTAAGTATAGGTGATGGTATGAAACATAACATACAGTAAGTAATGTTTATGCAATCAAATTGTGTTAAATATATTTTATTATTTAACTTCTTTAGATCAGTTATTTAACTTCTCTAGATCAGTTTCGTCACATCAAAACTAGATATACAAATAAGTCCTTAGAATGTTGCTCTAATACTTAAAATATCTGGCATCTTTTAGGTAGTTAATAATAGTAGCTGTGATTATTATTCCCCATTGAACCAAATTTCCCAATTTAATTTGGTAATATTTGAATTATTTTAACCTGAGAATCCAGTATCTTATTTTAAAAGGACAAATAATAAATATCGTTGGATGAAAAGTTATTTTGAATATTTATTTACATGAGTGATATTTAGAAGATCTAAATTCAGTTTAAAGAACTTAACTGTGCTTACTATCAGTGGTGAAAGTTAATCCATGGTGGCAGGCTCTCTAAATATCATCCCAGTCATGTCTTTTCTTACCTACTCTACCATAGAGGTTTCTATTGTAGCTAAAGTTAAAACATGGCATAGTTCTAACCAGTAAAATGTAAAGAAATTTCCTAGATAAGGCTTCCAGAATGGTTTTTGTTTTCCCAGTAAAAAGGGACAGTCTCAGCTGACACATCTCTTTCTCTCCTTCTCTCTCCCAATCATCTTCTCTTCCCTTTACATCATTGTCTTTCCTCCTTCGTCCTTGCCTGAAATGTCAATGAAATGCTTTGAGGACTAGCAGGCATTTGGGGATTAGTAGGTCATAAATATGAGAACAAAATACAACATTCTAAGCATGACAGAACACAGAGATGGAAATATGTATCTCTGAAAAGATCACTGAGATGTTGTGCTAATTGTAAACTATCAAGCTCCATAGATCCTAGTTGTGAGAAAAAATAAAAACATATTTAAGCCACAGTAGTCAAGTTTGCTTTTACTTGCAGCCAAATACAGTTCTGACTGACCCACTTTTCCATATATTAGGCAAGCAATATAGATCCACTTTGTTCCTTTATATTTTATCTTGTCATTTTTTTCCTAATAAGGCACACTACTATTACTATCCCATTCTTCTTATTTAAATCATGTAAGCTATTTTTGGAAAAAAGAATTTCCATGTCTTTCTCACAGAATTTTTTTAGCAAACGTCTCTGAAATAAAATACATGCAACTACTGCTTCTAAATGGAGAATTTTTAAACCAAATTAACATCACAACATAGGAATTTTTTAAATATTCATGTGTAGTTTATAAAAAAAAACCTAATAACCGCTCACAGAGAATTGATAAATAGTCCCTAAAGATTGAAAACAGATTTTCTCCATTTCAAAGGTAATTTTTAGACTGTATAGAAGAAAGTAAACGTAAAGTACACTTTTAATCTAGAGTTGTTTCTTCCTCTAAAGGAATAAATATGATGTTAATGACAGCATTAGGACATATCAAAATGGTTTCCTAAACAAATCAAGCTTATGTCCCAAACAGCCATTTATCACTGGCTTTTCCTTTACTTTCCTCCTTCCTTTTCTTTCCTTCTTTTCTCTTTGTCCTGCTACATGACAATTGCAAAAAGGAATAAAAGCAGAGATGGAAAGTGACCTTAATTTGCCCACATCATATAAGGTTAGCAACCTGTTAAGTCCCAACTGCAGTAGTTTCACTTAAAGATAAATACTACATAGGAAATGCATTTTATAGTGATAATACTGATGATGCAAGAGTAATACAGGTTGACTAAGTGAAGAATCGCTTTTCTTAAAAAAGGAC